GCAGTAAGTATTAGTAATCGGTACATTGTCGTCAGCTCACAAGTGGAAATGAGTGAGTCGCCGCGTTCTTGCTTTATTAGTGATTAATTATTAGCACTTGTTCTTTGTGATTAGTGGTGACGGCAGCTTCTCAAATAATACTGCCCTTCCTCCCTCCCCGGAATATCACTTAGTATAATCGGACGACCCCTTTTAACAAAATACAAAAAAAAGTTTCTAAACAAGACGAAGAAAGTTCGGAACAGGTGATTCTTCAATGTTAGCATGCTAGACACTGTCGGCTTTCCATCTTCCCTGAAGCACTGCTCGCACTTTATTTATTTATTTATTTATTTATTTATTTATTTATTTATTTATTTATTTATTTATTTATTTATTTACGTGGCAGCAACATTCCGACGGGTCTTGCGGTCGCCTGCGCGTGGCAAAGCTGTCAGCTCCGCGGACGCATCAGAGTTCCGAGACGCCTCTCTCAAGTAGAGTGTCAGATTGGGCTAGTTGGTAATGCATTATATTAAACTTCTCGGCGCAAAAACTTCCGACAAACTCCGAAAACTTGCGCCTCTCTCAGTACTGAACAAGGAAGGGAAAGTATGCACACGGGTGGGGCTGCGGAAGCAGCATCGCGCGCTCCTAATCATGGATTCCGAGATGGTAGGATGTGCAGCCCCGGCGCTGGTAATCCGGGAGGTCGCGGCCCCTTTCCGCCCCGTAGGTTATGTGGACGTGTTCTAGGTGGGGGCGTTTTTTCTCACGGTTAACCCTTTGCCTAGGGTCGGGTCGAGGGCGTCCCCGGGTCATGTACCTGTAGCGGTGCTTACTTCCTTTGCAGTTGTCATCGCGCGCGGTTTCACGATAGCGGCTAAGAATCACCGGGGAGCAGGTGAGCATTCAAACACCCTGGAGAGACCCTCTTCGCCCATGTTCTTTTCCTCGTCGCCATAGGCTTGGTGTGGGAACTTTCACCCGAAACGTCTTCTCTAACTGGAGTCACGCTGATTTCGTTGTTGCTCTTTTATCGGCCACATTTTGCCAGTCATTTGTCATGGGCAAGCGATGGTCTTTGTGAAGAGCTAAAACAAGAACATGAACAGTGGCCCCGAATCGCAAACGCACGTCACCGTTATGTTTTCTATTCGCGAAGCAGTTTGATATCGCCTGAACGTAACCAAAACTAAGCTTAAAAAAAAAACTAATTACATTTGCAATGTGCACTACGCTTACAGTACATTTTTCTAGGCTCTAGAATGCTCGGACTTTCATTTGAATCGAATGAAAAAAAAGCAAACAAAAATTGTACTAGTCAATACTCGCTTTAATAGAAGCGCCACGCAATAACGCCGCCGGCGTTATTAGGCAGTTTTAAAACACCGTTTGCAAGCGCTGCGGGCGTAGCGGGCGCCATACGAGTTTTAGAATAGCGTTTGGCCTGCTGCAGACCGCAACGCACGGTCGCAACGACACCTTAGCCTCGAAACCAGCGCTTGCGGGCCACATGCGGGCCGCGATCGCCGCACGCAATTTCGAATTTTCTGCGTGCGGTCCGCGAACGCCGACTCGCGTTACGACGCATGCGCAGAGGCAGCGACCGCACCGCGTGCAAGGGCTCGCGGTGCGCTATTCTAAAACTCCCTATTGCTGCCGTGGTGTCGCGATATCCCGCTGATATAACCATCCACATTTTCGCCGAGTCAACGAATTTATTCAAACGTTCCAGAGGCCGTTGAGCTGCGCGAGAGGGTCGTTATCTCCGCTGTTCTGGGAAAGCATGAGGATTGCGTGATGAGATATTCTCGCGTTGCACGCGCGTAATCGAAGCAGAGCTGCTCTCCGTCGTCGCAGGTCGCAAGTGGTCGTTGCTCCTTATGCGAACTGCGACTTGGGGTGCGCCCAAGTTATCTCTTGCTCAGTCGCGCGCTGTGCGTATACAGCAGTGCGCGATTCTGCGAAGAGTCTTTTTTTCCGAGGTGGTGGCGTCCCTCTCTTGTTTCCGCTTTTGGCGACTCCCTTCAGGCGCGGCTTCACTTCACGCATCGGCGGCCAGCGCCGTGACAACTTTCGTCCGTGAGAAATTAACAAGGCGGGTCAAAGTTCTCGCCTGTATTTTATTAAGTACACGTGGCGCGAAATGCCAAATGCTTTCGTATCTAAGCACATGGTTAAGGCGAAGGCATTGCCCCGCCGCGGTGTCCTAGTGGCTAAGGTACTCGGCTGCTGACCCGCAGGTCGCGGGATCAAATCCCGGCTGCGATGGCTGCATTTCCGATGGAGGCGGAAATGTTGTAGGCCCGTGTGCTCAGATTCGGGTGCACGTTAAAGAACCCCAGGTGGTCGAAATTTCTGGAGCCCTCCACTACGGCGTCTCTCATAATCATACGGTGGTTTTGGGACGGTAAGCCCCACATATCAATTAATCAATCAAGGCGAGGGCATTACATGCTTCATCCAATGACCGCCGCCGGCGGGCCACGCCGCCAACACGATCGATTAAAAAAATGTAATCGTGTGATCACATCACCACATGACGTCACATTACCGAAATTCGTGACGTCATCGTGAGGGGCACCACGTGACATCGCCCACGGTCAATGTGTGGTGATCACAGAGGCTATGAAAAAACAAGGTGGGATGCTGAAAGCTTGTTGTGCGTCCCTGTATGCTCCGATCCTGCAAGCAGTGCAATGCCACGTTGGGTGCTAAAATATCCCTAAGTGGCAGGCGGGGGGTGGTCAGTGCAATGACTGAGAAGAATATGATGGCTTTAGCCGTCGATTTTTGTTAGGCCTGACTACGCCTACTGCAGGGCAAAAGCCTCTTCTGTGATCCGCAATACCTTAATTAGAAGTGTGAAACGCAATATCTTAATTAGAAGTGATCAGTATATACGAACACGCTCTTTGTTCATGGAGGGTGCTCTGCATTCTGCTATCGGCAATCAAGTATCCGACCAAATGCTTGCGAATTTCTTCTGGTTAAGTACGGACTGACTTCGGTATGTTCGGTATTCGTGGTCACGAAAGAAATGATTGCGGAAGTCACTGCAATCTATCCTTCGATCCCAGAAGCTATACTCCGTTTCATACATCAGGTGCAACGCTGTGAAGGCTAGGGAAGTAGTCCGTAAAGAAAACACGAGGTGTTCCTTCGCGCGGTTTCGTAGCCGAGTGGTTTTTTCGAAGCTGCCACAAGTAAAAAAAAAAAAAAATCGGCGGCGCGGGTCGCGCGAAGAGCGAAAACCTGATACGAAAGCGACAAACATAAATTACCAACTCGCATATTTGGATTGTTTATCCGACAACACAGGCGTTTGTTTTTTAACCTGATGACAAATATGTATACTTAGAAGTTTCCCGAGAAGCATTTATTGATTCTCGTACACCCCGAGCGACGCACTACTTTTTGGTCGCGGCAGTACACAGCCCAAACAAGAGCGCTAGCTTTGACAGCGTTGCACATGATGTATGAAACGGAGTATAGTCTTGAGTGTATTCTGGCCGACTCATTTTTTCAGTGTCGCCACAAGGCGGTTTCTTGTAGTACTCTAAAGCAATGCACTCAAACCTCTTGAACAAAGTTGCATCATAAACGAAAATAGGTTCGCTATATCCGGAAATTCGTTATAATGATATATTTCCAACACTGCTATAATTGCAAGACTACTTTTCATTTACTTAGATATAACCAATATTTCGTTATATCTGAGTTCATTATCTTGAGGTTTGACTCGAAATGTCATGATATGTGTACGAAGAGAGTAATCTGTTCAACAGTTCAAGAAACTTCGTCTTCTTGCGTGAAATGACTGCTCAAGTCCACAATGTTTGTTCGAATCACAACAATACCTATTTCATTGTGCGCACTTACACGTATTTACGTTTTGCTAGAAGGCGATTGCACTTGGCCATATTCATAAAAATGTTTGATCTGTTTTCATGCTCGCGTAGCCACTTCTGGCTAATTTTACTGCCCTTGGCTCAGGTTGGCTACTTCCTAGCGCAATTTTCGAATTTTCTGGTAAGATCTGTTTTTCTTTTCGACCTGACAACGCTGCCCACGGACAAGGCATGGACACACGAGGACGGGCGGTGCTTTTAGACGAGTATAAACAAGGGCTATTTGTTTCTTCTCTTTTTTGATATATTCTTACTAATTAGCTCGTTTCCAAATGCCTTTACGCTGGATGAATCTTCGCCGGTGTTGACTAGCAATGTCAAATCCCGCTGATTGATGATCGGTGCTAGCTTAGTGACGGTAAATCTCGGCTGATGTAATCTGCTCTCAACCGCTGTATTGTCTTGGCTCGATTCCACTCCAACGATTTAGTTCTCTACCTGACCTTTCATATCCTGGTCGGATCGCATTCTCGGGGCGTCGACCTAGATTCGAGCAAAAATTGTCGATGAGTAAACCGGTACTTTTTCTTCACTTCATTCGCCCGGAACTTTACACCTGCAGCGGATACGCGTTCGTCTCTTGAACGTGTACTACACGTTATTTCATCGGTGTGCTGAGTTCGTGTGACTCGGGCTGCCCCGCGACAAGCGGGGGCCACCGACAGAGGTGTAGCGCACCGACGCGCGCGTTTCAATGACAGGCGGCTCACGTGTGCGCCTACCACCGAGACGCCGTATGCAACGCGTGGTTGGCCCTGGGCGTCCTTCGCGTACGTGACGTCATCCCGCCGTCGCTTTTTAAACGCGTCCCTTCCCCCCCCCCCCCCTCCTTCTTCTTGCAAGCCGTCAGCGGCGGCGGATAGACGGCGTGGCGGTAGATTTGGCGAAATGCCCTGCCGCTACTGCTAGTCGGAAACCTGCGTCGTCATTTGGCTGAGCGAGTAAATGAAGAGAGATGGAGCCCGCGGAATGTAGCGAATCTCTCCTCCTAAGCCAAGAAAACCCGGCGATCGTCGCATCCTTTCTTTGCTACATGCCCGCGCCCCCTGTGTAACGGAAAGGGAAGAGAGAGGGACGCGGAGAGAGAGAAGGGGAGAGGAGCCGCAGGCGTCTGCGTTGATTCCCCGGCGGGACGTCCCGCTGGCGGATCTGGCGTTAGTTGCGTGCGCTGTCGTCTCGCCGCCTCTCCGGCCGCTGGCTACACGCGCGCGCGCGCTCACACTTTCGCTGTCTGATTCCCTGACCGGTCGCGGCGCTTAGAAGATTCCTAGGCGGCGGAAAAGGCGTACGCCGGCCTTCTCGGGATTTCTCTCTTTTTTTATTTCTTTCTTGTTCAGGTCCATCCGCACTTCTTCGCATTCGAAGTCGCCGGCGTCGGATATGTGGAAAGACTCTTCTTCTCGTTCCGTTTAAAGGAGCTGACGTCGGCGCAACGCGGTGAGAGTGTGTTCTTCCTGCGGCGCCTTCGTGCGCGCGCTGGCCACTGAGGAGTGCGCCGCGCTGCCGGCGGTACCCGCCGCGTTGCGTCGTTCGTGTGCTGCTGGCGGCTGTGGGTTTGTGTTCGCGACGACCGAAACTACGACGGATTGCCTGGTTTTCTTCTGCCCATGGATTTGGATTTGACCAGATAGACGGTGAGTATTGAAGATCATTTTTGAGATAGTGACCGTAAGATGTCGCGTGCATGCTTGCATTTGTAAAACTATGGAAACGTCTGGCGCCGTGCTGTCTTATTTGTCAGTTACGAGCGCGTTAGGTCCCCCCGCTCTCTTTCTCTCTGCTATTATGGTTAACGACGCCGCACTTCTCAATATTACTCTTTAAGGTATGTCGTATTCCACGCTTATGTTACAGGTCCCCTACGCTTATGTAACGGCTACAAATGACTTAGGGTCAATGGGAAGACGTCGATCTTCAACTTGTTTTTTTTTTTTTCAGTGCGCGTGCCTCCGTTTACATCGTATGAAACTGTTCACGAGTACTGAACAGGTCTTTTTTTGAAGCTGGTAAACTGAATTTGTACACCGAGCGTTGATAACGAATCGCACACCTTAACTTCCGCTCCTACCACCTGGACGGCTTCGTGGAACGTTCCATATTGCGCGTTTTCCAGTGACGCTGATGGGCTTCTCATGAGCCGTGTTAATCTAATCACCGGTTATTCTCTGCTTTCCTCTTAACGTGTGTCGACGGAACGCGTTTTCGATGTAACGGCTCCCTTTTTTCTTATTCTTTTCTTAGTTCTTGGTAAACGCTGGGAGGCGCGCGTGTCAACGCCTTTGTTCGTCATCGCCGCGCTAATTACGTCACGCGCTGTTCGGTTCGGTGTACCCACCCTTCGCGGACTTGAAGACACTGCGTGATCCAAATAGAGGAACGAACGAGCCTCGCTTGTCTGCGCTTCCACGAAGCCTTTCGCTCCAAGCGGTGCCGGGGCAGTCACAACTGCGGTCCTTCCATGAAACGAGCTGATCTACCTTCTTCCCCTCCCCCCCGCCTTTCTCTCAATTGCCGTTCCGAAGCACACCGCAGCCGACGACACGACGATTTGTTGTTCCCGGTAGAGCTGCTATTACCCGGGCCGTACAGGCTTGCGTCTTTTGGACGTCCGTTCCCTGCATCCTCTTCGGCCTCCTGTCATCCCCCCCTCCTCTGCCTTGTTGGAATCCACGCTGTATGTTCGTTCGTGTTCCGAGAAGGCTAGGAGGAGGGTGAAAAGGCATTCATTCAGTCTGCTGGTTTCCATGTAGACGATAGTTATAGCGCGAGAACAGAACGACGGCAAAGAGACAATAAGGACACGGAGGACAAGAGCGCTCGTGTCCTTCTTGTCTCTTTGTCGTCGTTCTGTTCTCGCGCTATAACTATCGTCATGTCATACCAACTAGCCCAAGCTGCCACACTTCTGAGTTCATGTAGAGGTGGAAGACAAAAATTTTCGTGCTCGCTTTTTAGCATGCAGGGCCCCAAGCACCCCTCCTTCACGTCCGCCGGCTTCTTAGGTGGCTTGTCTTGCGACTCGCGTAAGAAATCTCTCTCCTGTAGCTCTGCGTCTTGTTCCTCACCTTAGCCTCCCCTTTCCGCAGCATCCGAAAAAAACAAAATCAAAGGTAGCATCTTTTTTTTTTCTTTTATCCTGTACGTGGCGGTTAACAGCGGTGTTCAAGCGGTCACGGGAACTCGCTCGCCGACGGCATCGTCTGTCATTAAGCCGAACTAATACACGACCACTGGATGGCTTTGGCTCTCCTATACCTCGCATTTCTCGTCCGTTAACCTCTCGAGACGGCTCTCCCTTTCTTTTTTGTTTTCGTAAGATGTTTCATTGCTTTACCCTGTGTGTTTCGGCAATGGATCTCGCTTCTTCGTCGTCTGCGAAGGTGGGCTGGTATCGCCAAACCTTCGAGAGTTTTGGTCACGCAAGTCGTTTTCTTTTGCTGCGGACGAAATCCTTTTTGTTTTGATTTGCGCGTGTTCATCTGTACGGTTTCTCTCCTTCACTACCCATCCCTCATCCCATTCTTTCTTTTACCCTTTCCGGGTCGGATGTGTTTGGCTTCAGTCAAACGCCGCTTACCTCTCGACGTTTGGTTTATTTTTCTTTTCTTCGTTGTCTTCGCTCTTGTCGTATTTCGATTATTTGCCAAAGCCGCCGCCCCCCGCGTGATTGAGCGTACATGCATAACAAACGCGCCGCCGCTGCCACGCCCACCAGAGGTACTGGCGTCCCCCCTCCCCCCACTTCTCCCCCTTCTTTCTGACACATCCCCCCCCCCCCCCGTCTGTGTGGAAAGAGGGGGGATACCCCGACTGCGAGGGCCAACCGCCCCGGGCCCTCGTCTTCGCAATGCATCGGCAACTTCGCGCGGTTCGTCGATCCCTTTAAACCGGCGACGGGATTCCCCCGTGCCCTCTTGCGATTTCGTGCAAAGGGGTTCCTCCGTCCTGAGTAAAAAAAAAAAAGAAAGCCTCGCTACCTTTCCGCCAGACGTTCACTCCGTCTACGGTCAGATCAACCGTCTTCTTGGCCGGAGTTGGTTTCAGCGCCGTGTTATTTTGCTTAGTCTGGCCGTACCCTTACCCCCCTTTGGAACACAGTATCTTTTCTCCTCCTGCTGCTGTGCATCCACCGCCGTTTCCCACTCCCCCCTGATCGATCCGCTGTTCGTCTCTCACGCCGAAGACGAAACCTCTACGCATCTGCCAAGTTTCGCGGATGTGTGCAGTGCGTGTGCGACGTCGCGCCTCGACTGAGTACCCCGCCAGGAGGCGGCGTCTGTTCTCCGATGTTTTTCTTCAGGTACGTCTTACGTTAGCATAATGATATTTATAGGGTTTGACGCCTCAAAACCACGATATGATCGAGACGGCCGCAGTGGAGCGCTCCGCGAAATTCTGCGATACGGTGCCGACATGGCTCAAAACACGAGTCTCTACCATTTCGCCTCCATCGACGGGGATCGAACCTGCTACCTTCGGTTCAGCAGCCGAGCACCGCAGCCGCAGCGCACATTCTTACTTTAGGAAGAGTGGCTCGTAAACGCGCTTGCTGTTGGGCGAAAAAAAAATGAGCTCATGGTCCCCCCGGCTATTGAGAGTTCGCTGCCTGCATTATATTGTAGCGGTGGGACACGAACAACAGCTCAGATCACTTCGACTGGCTGTTTCCGCCTTTCACGGTGAACAGAAAACGTCTTCCTTGATACTCTTTCTCCGATTGTCTACTGCCCCTCTAGGCGGAGTCCCTTAAACTTCGCCGTCTTCATTGTCCTTTATGCATACAAACTCGTCAGCATGTTATGGTGTGCCGTAGACTCGAGGTTACTTAGTTCAGTTACTCACTTATTTTATGCATTTACTTGTACATGACTGCAATTCTCAAAGGTCAGAAACCTTCCGGGGGAGGAGGGTAAGAACAAACACTGATTTACATAAATTCAATATACATAGCGTTCACGTGACGTCACAGATAGGTTCTCTCTGCGCGGACACCGTGGCTTTTTATCTCATTAGAGAATTTCAGTGCAGGGATAGACACACAGTCGTTCGGTCCCCGCTTTCCTTGCTGCTGTTCTCGCTTTCCTCTGTTCACTTGAGCCGAGCCAAGGGTGAACGCAAAGGAACGCGATGGCTACCAACACTAATCTGACGTCATCGTTTCTAGCTTCGTAAGTTCGAGATTACGCAACGTCTGCACGAGCTGGTACCCCCAAGATGGCGACCGTGGTGAAGTGTCAGTGAAAACTGTGTATAAGTAGTATGTCGGTGGCTGTCGATAGCAGTTACAAGCTCTTCGTGTTAGCAAGTACCTAACCTCACCCAGCAACCCATTCTAACTTTAGGTTGCACGCAGAAATGTGCTTTGTTTATTATACCTTCCCGTTCTAGCCTGGCGTAAATAAAGCGCGATGTTCGGGGTGTGAAAGATTTGTAGGTGAAGTTGCTTCTGGTACTTTCACCGCCGTCCAGTCTTTTGATACGAGTTGGCGCGTTTCATGGGTTAACTCGACGAAAGACGCGAAATATAGCCCTTGACTGTCGTCTTGCCCGCTGTCTACTTGAAGAAGATTTATGGCTTGACGCTCGTTACCCGCTATAACTGTTTCGTCACTGAACCTAACCGAGGTAGTTGCAGTGTGACGCGTGTGGGCCGTGAGGTGTGATTCTTTTCTTTTTTTTGGCGCGCGCGCAAAGCTAGCGATGGGTGTTCCCCGTAACACCTTTGCACGCGCCGTCAACACTGTCTCGCATATTTTGAAAAAAAAAAAAAAATAACCGCCTCCAAGTGTACGCGGAATACGTAGCACAGTGACAGCGAAACCTACAAGAGCGGCCTTTCAGCGCTTTTTTTTAAACAGCATTTGGGTAACAGCTACGCGCACACTTGCAGGGTACCCACTATGCCATAAACCATAATTTCTGTGTAGCAGGGAGGCAGTCATGATGATAGGGGCCTAAATGCATGGCTCACACCCATTCTGGGTAACCCACTCTGAGTCATTCGTGTGTTTGTCAATTGCCTGTGACCACTGGCACATACTCACTTTGCGGTGATTGGCCAAGAAAGCTTGTAGTGGCCTATATGTGAACACTATACAAAGATTGTCAGCCTATTACTAAAATGAACAAACAAAGGAAGAATAACTAATTATTTTTCAAAAATAAAATAGAAATAAAAATGAATCAATAAAAAAATAGAGCTAAAACTATATGTGATCCTTCGTCATTCTTCAGTGAAGCGTGGTACCCGCTACATGCTTGCAAGGAATTTTGTACAATTGTTTTAATGTTGTGGCTGACGACGATGGAGAATCATGCCTAGCGCTATTGTAATGGCTTGTACCATTCGAGGACCCACTTGCTACGCAATTCGCATTGTGAGACGCCTGGCTGTTTCTTTTTTTTTTTTTTGGGGGGGGGGGGGGGTGTGCTAAAGTGCTTCATTACACACGTTAACGTGGTTCCTTTCCCGACGTGAAGCCTGTCTAAGGTCAGTCTGACGCGGAATTCCAAGCACCGGCATTGCTCAGTAGTAGGATTTCGCCCTGGCGCGCAGGGTGCCCGGGTTCGAATCCCATTGTGTCCTTGGTGTTTTTTTATTGTTTTCGTAGTTTTTTCTCACTTCGTGCGATAG